AGTAGTTGAAAGCATGTGACATTAGCCGTGCCTTCGGCTTCCTGAGTGGTTACCTCGACCACGTCGCCGTCGTCGCTTTCGTGTGCTGGCGACGGGCTGCTCGGAGTGTCGTGGCGTCGTGATGGTCCTGGGGCGGGAGCGTCATCATCATCGTCGTCGTCGTCGCGCGGGCGAGGATATACGCCAGGATGTTCGTCGGCGGGATTGCGGTCAAGGTGAGCTGCAGCCTCATCCTCTGGTGATGCGAAGCTTCACCCGTTTTTGGCGTAGGCTTTGGCGACGTTACCGTGCTGGTCCTCGGTCCACTGCTGCAGGGTGAGTCGTTTGTAGAAAATAATATCTCGCGCAGGTACGATCTTGTTATTGTCAATGTCCAGAATCAACCACCCCTTGTACTCATAGCTGAGGTCCAAATGAACTCCCCAGCGTGCGCGCTCAGTGAATTTGCCGACAGTAGCTGATATCGGCCTGTACTGCACCATGCACCCCCAAACCCTCAGCATCGAGGTGTCCCCCCTTGTCCCGGTCCACTTCATGTGCGGTGAGAGATTCCGCCTGTTCGCCGTTGTTGACAGAAGGTTGTGAAGCCGCACGGCGTGATTCATGGCGTAAGGCCAGAACTTCTTGGGTAGGCCGGATTGATTCATGAGGGCGCGAACCTTCGTCATGAGGGTGCGATTGACGTGCTCGGCGACACCTTGCTGCTGGTGAGCGTAGGGGAGTGAGATGTGATGCTTTATCCCCTTCTCCGTGAGAAACGCCTGCAGTTCGTTGCTGTGGAATTCTTTGGTGTGAAAGTTGTAAACTGAACCATTACTTTGATTAGAGGAGGAACAAGCATACATATGTTGGATGAGAAGCTTGGAGGGGAAAGGTTGGGTTGAACATAGGTTGGGTTTGTGGAAGGGTTGGCCTCACTTTGGGAAGTGAGGCAACCTGAGGCCAAGTGGGTTGCATTTGGGGGCTCCACCACAATTGGGTTGGATTGGCACCCCACAATGCAAGACTACACCCAAAGTTGGGTGTAGTCCCAACCCCTTAACATTTAGCATGCTATACATAGAATTCTATCACAACCCCTTAGTATGCAAAGACAAGAAGGGGACAACCCCTGAATCAAGGGGCGCCCAGCGAGCAAGGCCGATGAGGCGGAGGAGAGAAGAGTGCGCAGGGCGAAGGAGCGCCTTGGTGAAGATGTCGGCCAAGTTGGCTTCGGCAGCAATCTTCCGAACTGCAAGAAGGCCGCGCTGGACGAGCTCGCGGATGAAGAAATAGCGCAGCTCGATGTGCTTGGAGCGGGCGTGGTAGATGGGGTCCTGAGTGAGATGGATGGTGCTGGCATTGTCACACCAGAGGGTGGGGCAGGGCTGAGGGGCGCCAAGCTCAACAAGAAGAAAGCAGAGCCAGCGGGATTCCTGAGCGGCCATGGTGCCAGCGTAGAGCTCGGCCTCGCAGGTGGAGAGGGAAACGGCAGAGTAGCGCGTGGAGTGCCAGCTGACAAGGCCGGTGCCAAGGGTGAAGCCGTAGCCCTGAGAGGAGCGGCGGTCCGGCTGCGAGTCAGCCCAGGAGGAGTCACTGAAGCCCGAGAGCAGGGGAGGGGAGGGGCCACCAAGAGTGAGGGCATGGTCCTTGGTGCCGCGAAGGTAGCGGATGACCCTCTTAGCAGATTTCCGGTGCACCTCGGTGTGGCGACCAGTGCCAACAAAGCGAGTGAGCACGCTGATGGGGTAGGCAAGGTCGGGGCGGGTGCACATCATAGCGTACATCAGCGACCCAACGAGCTCAGCATAGGAGCAAGGGGAGGAGGAGGGAGAAGTGGGTGGGGCAAGTTGGTGGCCAAAAGGGAGGGGGGTGGCCATGGGACTGGCCTGCGCCATCTCGAACTTCTCCAAGACCTGGCCGATGTAATGGGACTGGGAGAGGGTGATGGTGCGAGCAAGACGGTCGCGCGTGATAGCCATGCCCAAGTAGTGCGTGACGTAGCTCAGGTCCTTGCACTTGAGGCACTGCTGCAGCTGCTGCTTCATCTGCTCCATGTCAGCCTTGGAGTCAGCAAGCAGGATCATGTCATCCACATACACCAGAATGAAGAAGCGGTGAGGGGAGGAGCGAAGAAAGAGACTGGCGTCAGAATGCGAGGCAGAGAAGCCTAGGGACCCCATGATGGCAGACAGCTTCGCGTGCCACTCCCTTGGCGCCTGCTTCAACCCGTAGACAGGTCAACGCAGCTGCCACACAGTGTTCTCAGGAAAGGCGGCGTGGAACCCGGGGCGCCGCCGAAGGAAGATGCGCTCGTGCAGGTCGCCCTGCAGGAACGCGTTGGAGACGTCCATGGAACAGATCTCCATGTCGTCGCGCGCACCAATGTCGAGGAGGGTGCGAAGGGTGTACGGCTTGGTGGTGGGGGCGAAGGTGAACCAGTAATCTTCGGCCCATGTCTGGGTGAAACCCTTAGCGCAGTAGCGGGCCTTGTAGACCGGCTCCTCTCCCGGCAGCTGCTTCACCCGAAAGACCCACTTGCCCTCGACAAGGTTGGCGTCGGCTGGGAGGGGGACATCAACGAAGGAGTCGTTGCGAATGAATGCCTCACACTCCAGGAAGATTGCCGCGATCCACTTGTCCGCATCAGGGCATGTGATGGCCTCTTGGAAAGTGGAGGGAGTGAAGATGGTGGGGGTGGAGGTGGCGCCAAGGACTGGAAAGCCCAGGAAGTCAAGGTAGAGGGAGGCAAGGAAAGGAGTGTGGTGCCGAATGTTGAGGAACTCCTCATGGGAGTCCTCAAGGAGCTGAATGGAGGCGGGAGGAGGGGCTGCAATGAGTCTGTCTAGGGAGCGGGTGTGCATGCGAGGGAGGAGGAAAGGGGAGGAGCGAGAAGTTGCCTGGCGCTGCTGCCGCTGCTGCTGCTGCCCCTGCTGCTGACCCGGCTGCTGCTACTGCTGCTGCTGCCCCCACTGCTGACCCGGCTGCTGCTGCTGCTGCTGCTGCTGCTGCTGCCCCTGCTGCTGCCCCTGCTGCTGCTGCCGCTGCTGCTGCTGCTGACCCGGCTGGTGCTGCTGCTGCGACTGCTGCGGCTGCTGCTGAGAAGGGGGAGAGTGAGAGGAGGAGGGAGAGAGGGAGGGGGCGCAGCTGAGTGGGCCGGGGAGGCGGGTCCAGCGGGGTTGTAGACGTCGGCAGGGGAGGAAGGAGGGAGTGGAGCGGCGACAGGGGGGAGGAGAGGAGCGGGAGGGAGGAGAGGTGGGAGGATAGTGTCAGTCCAGGCGAGGGGGCGAGAGGGAGGAGGGAGAGGATCAGGAGTGGAGTAGTAGAGAATGGACTCGTCGAAGACGACGTCAATGCTGCGGATGAGGCGGTTGGTGGGAGGGTGGAGGAACAGGTTGCCTAGGGAGTCGCGATTGTGCCCGAGGTAGACGCACTCTAGGGCACGAGGGGCGAGCTTGCCAGCAGCGCGGGAGCGATCAGCCGGTGGGATGAGGACGAACGACTTTCAGCCCCAAACGCGAAGGCCGGCAGCGTCAGGCTTGGCCTTAGACCAGAGTTCTGTGGGGGAGGAGGAGGGATGTTGAGGGTGGGAGCGGAGATTGAGGAGGGGTGGAGGCGTGAGGAATGAGGCAACATGCAATTTTGGTGATTTCACGAATGCGACTCTCAGCAATGCCATTTTGCTGAGGGGAGTGGGGGAGGGTGGCGGTCTGCCTGATGCCATGTGTTTTGCAGAAGGTGGCGAGGGTGTTGTTGATGAACTCACCCCCACCGTCAGAGTGAAGGCGGCCAATGGGGCCTTTGAAGTGAGTGCGGCACTGCTCAGCCCAGTTGATGACCACAGCCGGCACCTGGTCCTTGGTGTGAAGGAAAAAGACAGTGGAGAACCGACTGTAGTCGTCGACGAGGACGAGCATGTACCGATGCCCCTGGCGGGAGCGGATGGGATAGGGACCCCAGAGATCCATGTGAACAAGGTCAATGGGAGCGGCAGCAAAGGTGGGATGGCTGTGATGGGGGGACTGTTTGAGCTTGCCATGAATGCATGATGGGCATGGGGGGGGAGGGGAGGGGAGGTAACGTGGGAGGAAGGCTGTTAAGGAGGCGAGAGGTGACGGTAGTGCGAAGTGCGGCGAAGTTGGGATGGCCGAGTCTGTGATGCAAAATTACGGCTGGATGGGAGAGGGTATTAGAGGAGGAGGGGGATGGGGTGGGGGAAGAGGTGGGGAGGGAGGAGGGGGGTGAAGCAGGGGAGGAGGATACCTGAGGGGGAGGGAGAGGGGGAGGGGGACCGGTGGAGGTACCATCACGAGTGGTAACATGACCGAAAAGGGGACGGGGTGTGCGGAGCGTGTAAAGGCGAGTGCGAGGGCAAAGGGGAATGCGCAGAAGGAAGCGACCAGAGGCTGTGTGGTAGAGATCACAGTAGGTAGCAAAACCAGGGTAAATGGCGGTAATACCAACACCTTGGAGCTCTCGGTGAGGGAGGAGGTTGTTGCGAAGGGTAGGGATGTGGAGACTTGTGACCTTACCGGATGGGAAAGCGGTGCAAGGGAGGGTGGAGAGGTGAGTGCATGGGATGGAAAAGCTGGAGTCAGCACCATGAACCTGGGTGGGAAATGGAAGGGGGGTGAGGGTGCCAGCGTCTTCGAGTGCAGTTTCTGTGGCCCCACTATCAAGGACAAAGTCCAGGGTGGGGGAGGAAGGAGGGGGAGGTGACACGGGGTACTGGAAAGACGTCTCACTGATAGCAGAGGGATATATGGAAGCGACGGATGGTGCAACAGCAACATGCTCAAGGAAACTGCCCTGAGAGTTAGGGACACTGGGGGGGGCAGAGGGGATGGAAGCCCAGGGGGGGGAGCAAGGGAGGCATGAGCGGCCATGGCCGCTGTGCCGAAGGTCATCGGCTGCTGCTGCCACTGCGGGTGAAGGTACTGCGGCGGCTGCTGCTGTTGGAAGAACTGCTGATGCGGTGGCTGCTGCGGCTGGAGAAACTGCGGCTGCTGCGGCTGGGGAAACTATGGCTGCTGCTGCTCCGGGAAGTACTGCTGCTGCTGCTGGTACTGCTGAAACTGCTGCAGCTGGGAAGGGGGGGAGGGGGTGAGCAGGCGGAGGTGAGCGGGGAGGAAGGAGGGGAGGGTCTGGATGTCCACGAGGGAGGGGCGAGGGGTAACACTGTTCCAGCGAGGAGGGGTACCAGTGATTCCGCGATCAAACCAGGCGTCATCGAGCGCCTTGAAGCATGTGACAGGGGGGTGGTTGGTCTGACCACAAGGCGTGTCGGCGCGGGGACCATGACGGCGAACGTACGTGCAGGGAGGGAGAGTGCGACCGCCACGGCTCACAGCTCCACCAGCACCAGAGGGACCTCCAGGAGTGGTACCACCAGTACCACCACCACAACCACCACCACCACCACCACCACCACCACCACCACCACCACCACCACCACCACCACCACCACCACCACCACCACGGCCACGGCCACGGCCACGGCCACCACGGCCACCACGGCCACCACCACCCCGACCACCACCACCACCCCCACCCCCTCCACGACCCCCTCCACCGCCGTTGCGACCACCCGGGTTGCGCGGCTGCGTGGTATTGAGGGAAGTGGAGGAGGAGGACTGAGGGGTGGTGATGTTGGCAATGGGGGTGCGGAGCTTGACCTCCGTGTCAATGATCCACTGAACCACCTCGCTGAGGCCAGCCAAGGAGTTTGCCTCGGTGAAGGCGTGCAGACGGGACTCGTAATCCGACGTGAGGTTGAAGAGCAGACGATGAATCCGCAGGGGCTCGGGGAGGGCAGCCTGGCGAGCTGCAAGGCGATCGGCTACCTCCTGCATGCGCCCCACGTAATCGACTGCGCCGTCGCAGGTGGCGAGGGTAATGGAGAAATACTCCTGGAAGAGAACGCCGACGGAGATGATGTCGCGGCGTTCGAACATGGACTGGAGCTCGGCCCAAATCAGGTGGGCTCGCATTTGACGAGCTTGGAAGCGGCACATGAGGGTGTCGGGGAGTGCACTGAGGAGGATGGTGCAGGCGCGGTTGTCGGCAGCGGCCCAGGCGATGCTGTTGGGGATGTGAAGCGCCATGGAGGTGTTGTAATCCGCAAGCAGCGCCAGGCGAGTGGCACGGTCCGACGTCGCGAACTCGTAGTTGTGAGAGTACGACGGCTTTGCTGGAATTTACTTGCTTGATTCTGCTTTATTATGCATTGTCTAGCTTAGCTTTATTTTATCTTGCATGCATTTGCTTGATTTCCTAGGTTCGTTGCTTTACTATATTTATTATAGTTATAGGCACCGAACTAGGTTGAGTGCACCGGATTCTAGGCTTTTCGGTTGCCACCGAATTGCCTTTTACAGAATTTGGGAAGGACCCGTTCGGGACGCTTCGCGACCCACGGAACCTTCTAGTAACACCCGGGTTACTGCCTTTGTGTCGAGCATATATATAGCCTCGCCTTGTACCCAGGGGGATCATTCAATAGATTTCTCTTTTCTGAACCAGATCCTCACACTTGGTAATCAAAGCGGGTTTACACGAGAGGTCTTCAACCGCAAAAAACCGGCCTTGAAAAACCGCAGGGGCGACGACGAAAGCGTCGACACGGGTATGTAAAACCAGTTCCGCGCAATCTTTCTAAGTCCCCCTCGATCCGGTTTTCGAACACCCCTCAGGATTACTGGCAAAAACGTTGGAATTTCGACCGTCAGATCTATTCGAATCTCAACGGCCCAGAGAATTTCGCCCAAAACGTTTGGAATTTGGAGCGTCGGATCACGTTTCTCCTCAACGACCGAGATCGGACGCGAATTTCGACTAAGGGAGAATTGCGCGACGTACAGAATTCGCGCTCGTCGATTCTACAGTCAATCCGACTCAAAGTAAGTCGACCAGCACCTAGAATTCATTTATTTTCGTCGCACATCTGCCTGCAAATCGCCAAATGGAGGGAAATAGAGATAATTTCGTACGGGAAATCGCGGAGTTACGAGCCGAGCATGAGCAGATACGTGCGGCGCTTCCACGACTCGAAAAACTCCTTGCAAACTAGTCGGCAACCGCCACAGCAGCAGCGACCGCAGCAGCGAATGCAGCAGCGACAGCAGCAGCAGCAGCGGCGACACCGACAATTCTACCTGCGATAATGGCAGCAGCTACAGTTACCCTCGAAGCAGTGAAGCCGAGGCTACCGGAGGCGTTCGATCCTATAGTTAAAGGGAGCGACGTTCGTCGATTCGTAGCTCAACTCGAAATTTACTTCGAAGCCGTTGGATGCACGACCCCCACCCAAGACGGGATGCGCATACGGCTCGCAACAACACTGTTATGTGGCCCAGCTCTATAGTGGATCAACAACAAATTTGTCCAAGGCGAAGGGACATGGACGCAGTTTCGGGCAGCACTGATGGAGCAGTTCGACGCGTTGAACAGTAGCTACTACGGAACACGACGCAACAAGCCAAATAGTGGCATGGAGCGATCGGCACCACCCACGACTGCCGACCCGATGGAGAACGACAAGGGCGATGCGAAGCAGCGGCTAGCAAACAACGAGACGTGCGAATTTTGCGGCGCTACAGGACATCGTATCTTGGCGTGTTGAAAATGAAGAAAAGACGTGCGGAGCTGAAGGGCAAGAACAGTGCGGCACCCCCGAAGCAGAAAACGGACAACGTGGTAACTTCGGAGAGGGCGAAAAAAGGAGAATATGATGGCGCAAATTTAAAACGTCACAACCAGCCGGCACCAACAGAAATCGCCGAGACAAAAGGAGACTCCGCGAAACAAGACCCTGCACCGACTAGGAAACTCCAGCTGTACACCCCAACAAGAAATATTATTACTTCTCGTGGTTTTCAAGCCTTTATTAAGGGAGAGTCAGAAATTAAAATGGTACCAGGTAATTGTCAAGAAACTGAACGGGCATTGAGAAGAAAGTCGGTACAAGTACTAACCCTAGTTGGGTTGTACCCCTTATGGGCTACCCCACTACAGCCTACACAACTTCAACATTATAATAGTTTGACACACCCCCAGGGCGCTTGCCCTGCGCCCTTGTCGCACTGTCAGCTGTGTCGGGAGGGGCAAGAGAGGCTTCAAACGTGAGGTCAAACAACGAAACGCCGTCTCTAGAATCGCTCAGTAGGAACAGCTGTAAGTCATCGAGCCACGTATCGAACTGGATCGGACGGCCCTCAGGATTGAATGTGAGGACGCTGAGAGTAGCCATAGCGGGCAGAGCAGGATGGCGCGCGAGCAGCAGGGCAGTACGCAAGCAAGGACGGCGCGAAGGGCATGGCGGCGCGCAAGCGCGCAGGGCAGGGCGGGGCGGCACACGGCTAGGGCAAGGCGGCGCAACTGGTAGAGCAGGGCGGCGGCCAGCAGGGCGGCGTGCGGGCAGGGCAGGGCAGGGCGGCGGCCAGCAGGGCGGCACGCGGGCAGGGCAGGGCAGGGCGGGCGGCCAGCAGGGCGGCGCGCGGGCAGGGAAGGGTAGGGCGGCGGCCAGCAGGGCGGCGCGCGGGCAGGGCAGGGCGGTGCGGCGGCTAGCAGGGCGGCGCACAGGCAGGGCAGGGCGACGCGGCGGCCAGCAGGGCGGCGCGCGGCCAGGGCAGGGCGACGCGGCGGCAGGCAGGGCGGCGCGCGGGCAGGGCAGGGCGGCGCGGCGCTAGCAGGGCAGCGCGACGGGCAGAGGAGGGCGGCGCGCGACCAGCAAGGCGGCGCGACGGGCAGGGCAGGGCGGCGCGGCGCTAGCAGGGCGGCGCGAAGGGCAGGGCAGAGTGGCGCGGCGCTAGTAGGGCGGCGCGATGGGCAGGGCAGAGCAGCGCGCAGCCAGCAGGGCGGCGCGACGGTTAGGGCAGGGCAGGGCAGCGCGACTGGTGGGGTAGGGCGCTACGGGCAGCTAACGAATCGGTGGGCCCTAAAAACAAACGGTCCTGGAACAGGACCTGCTCTGAAACCATGTCAAGAAACTGAACGAGAATAGATGCATTGAGAAGAAAGTTGGTACAAGTACTAACCCTAATTGGGTTGTACCCCTTATGGGCTACCCACTACAGCCTACACAACTTCAACATTATAATAGTTTGACAGTAATATGGGGACCCTACTCCGGAGCTTTGATAAGGGTCGAGCATTCCGACGAGTGAATTTTCTCTCCCAGCAGCACTGTTTAAAGGCTCCCCGCCATTCCCCACAGGTGAAGCCTACACAGCTGCAAAGGCTTAGGGGAAGGTTCCAGGCCCAGGAGAAGCTGTACCAGCCTCGGATAAATCCTTCTAACCCTACTCAGGTGAAACCTGATATTGAGTCAGCAGCTTCGAGCGCAGGACCTAAGGACGATATTTTTGACGTACCCTATGATCATGTAAGCAAGACCATCTACAGCTACTCGGAGCAGCAGCAGCCACTACTCCTCGAGGTGGTCTGCAACGGGCGACGCCTCCGGGTTCCCCACGCTACTGCCCGTTCCTGCTGCCCTGCCCTGCCACGAGCGCACTACCTTGCCTTGCCACGAGCGCACTGCCTTGCCCTGCCCTGCACGCGCTTTGCTGCCGCGCGCGCTGCTGCCCCGCGTGCTACTTCCCTGTGCGCCGTTGCACTGTGCGCGCCGCCGCCCAGCGCCCCGCTGCCCTGCGTGCCGCTGCCCTGTGCCCTGTTGCCCTGTGCCCCGCTGCCCCGAGCGCCGCTTCCCCGCCTGTTGCTGCCTCGCGCGTCGTTTCTCCGCGCGACACTGCATTGCACGCCCCGCTGCCCCGCGTGCCGCTGTGCCGCACACCGCTGCCCCACGTGCTGTTGCCCCGCGCGCCACAGCCCGTGCACAGCTGCTGCCTGTACGTCGAACGGCAGTTGCTGCCGCCCTTGCACTGCTGCTGCCGCCCGTGCGCTGCACCTCCGCCGCTGGCTCCCGTGCGCCACACCGCCGCTGCTGCCGCCCGTGCGCCGCACCGACGCTGCTGCCGCCCGTGCACCGCACCGCCGACACTGCCGCCCGGGCGCCGCACCACCGCCGCTGCTGCTCGTGTGCCGCACAGCCGCCGCTGCCGCTCATGCACTGCACCGCCGCTGCTGCCGCCAGTGCACCGCACCGCCGCCGCTGATGCGCGCGCGCCGCACCGCCGCGGCGTCAGCCTGCGCCACTGCTTCACGCGCAGCGCTGCCGCTGCCGTTCGTGCGTCGCACCGCCGCTAACTGGCCGGCCCGCTGCCGCTAAGCCGCGCCGCTTACCATGGCAACTATCAGTGTACTGACCTTCGACGCAGAAGGCCGACCTATCGAGTATGAGTCCTGGCTAGAGGACCTTCACTTGTATCCGTAGAGCGTAACCAAGGACGATGTCTTAGTTTTTTAGCACACGTCGGGGTCCCTTAAGGCCCCACCCACTCCGACTGTACCTGACTCTACTGCACCAAGCAGGAGCGGTATAGGACTGACCGCGTTGCTAGTACATAGTGGTTAGCACGCAACGCCACTGCCCAGCTTGCAGTCCGCGCTCACCTCCCACCCGACCAGAGGTCCCATTTTTGCCAGCTGGAACGGCCAAAGCAGTGGAAGACGCTGTAGTTAAGCGCTACTCCTCCCCTTCTTCTGCCACCCTAGGCCGTCTTGCGCTGCCATTTCACGTCCCTGAGCTGTCTAACTTCACCACTGTCGCCGACCTCTTGACTCACATGCGCTCCATTGGCACGCGCTATCGTGCGGCTCTCAAGCCAAATTTTCTAACTGAGAACCAGCCCCCTATGTATCCCACTCTCTACTTCCTCACGACTCTCCTCCCTGACTCTCTTCGTGCCGCCCGAGACCACTTCCTCTCTGTAGACCCCACTGAGCTCACCCTTGCCTCGTTTGAGTGTCATCTCCTTAAGGCTGAGACCAGTGCGTGCGCTGTAGCTGCCTCCCGTGGTACTCCCCGCCACTCCTTCTTTGAGGGGTGCCCCCC